CATCATTTTGAATTATCCTTGGGGGGAACATGTTTGATCGCAACTATGAGATATACTATTGTTTTTCTTTTTGTACTGCAAGATAGACGTAAATTTTCTAATTTACAGTTCTGTCTTTTGTTTAATTGCTCGTTCTCTTTCTATTTCCTCAGGTATAGTATACATCCACAGCTTCATCCTCTCTGGTAGTAGATCGTATCCCATCTCAGTTTGTTTCCCAATGTTGATGTAGCCTTTCTTGTCCTTGGTGAACTCCTCCCATGTTGCCACGCCCTCTAGGGGAAGACCTTGATTTGGATTTCTGAAGGCAAACGTACACATTAGCTGTATTCATTATTATTATAAGCACCATACAATACTTTGCGTGGGACATGTCTCAGAGGAAAACGTTTGCAGATCTAAAACTATTTCTTATGTTGCACTGCACCTTTTAAACACTTCTAAATTTAAATCAAATAAAGGCTGGGCATCGACCCAATATAGCAATATATCTACATGTATTATAAAAATGATTTTTAAAATATCAGTTTACCCTGTTTTGGCAAAGTTGGTCCAAAACGTCATCACGATATTAGCAGCAATTTGGTCCTCCTCAGACCACTCAAATTCCACACCCTCTTTGACGATGTTTGTTCCAAAGAGTAAAGGTAGTTCATCACCGTGTGCCGCACATCTCGTCCAAGATGGGAGACTGAAGCCTATTAAGTAGTCAACGGCGTTTTTTCCACTCAATACGTGACTGACGAGGTAGGCGTAGGTGGCAGATTTGTGGGTGTCAGTTTTTGATCTCAAGTGGGCCAGGGATGATTCTACAACATGTTGGTGGAACATCATATCAGTGAATAAATCACGTGCGGCGAGAGCATTTTCAATTGGGTCAGTTTTGTGTGTATACGTGTCATGAATATGCTTTTGTATCGTTTTTATACTATCTGGAAACATTGTTTTCAGCACCGGAAGAACTAGATTTTTGTCAATTATCTCGGCTGGTATCCCGGATGTTATGTTGAACTCGAAAGCTTGTTGCAGCATGGCGGCAGAGTACAACATGAGGTTGCCTTCGTCAGCAAGAGATCCCACCATCCAATCGACTTTACTGAATGCCTCATCCATTTCCGGACTGGGTTTGGACTTGGAAACCGAAAAATAGTCCTTCATCCCATATGGAACAAAGTCTCCATCTTCTGTTGGAGCAAAAGCCATTTCAAACTCTACATCTTCTTTTGTAAGGTCCAGTTGCACTAACTCGCTAGTTTTATTCATCAGATCTTCTGCGGAAACCAGGCGGAGACAATTAACTAATTTCAGAGTGTTCGTGAGATCTTCGTTATCAGAAGTGTTACAATGGAGTTTGCGAGCCATCTTCTTAGTTGTAAGAAGAGGATTCCTCGCCAACGCAAATCCGTTACTAAATGTCGGTGGACTCTGGCTGATGGCACGTTTAACCAACCCAATGTTATATTTAGTCACTGCTTGATGTTGTACACTAGAACCACCGGCAGATTCGCCAAATATGGTAATACTTTCTGGATCACCACCAAATGTTGAGATGTGTTCTTTGACCCATTTCAAGGCCTCGTGCTGATCCCACAGTCCAATGTTGCTTGGTGCATTTTCGTCCAGCGTTGTAAGAAACCCAAAAACAGTCAGTCTATAGTTGATTGTGACGCATACGATATCACCATGCAGAGCCAATTCTTCGCAGGGGGTCGCCATACCCTGGCCGATCGCGTAGCCACCTCCGTGTATCCAGATCATCACCGATTTAGGGGCCTTATTTTCTGATACAGGGACGTACACATTAAGACTGAGGCAATCTTCTGACACATCAGTGTGTTGTAGCATGTCTGCCATCCCGGGATATAGAATTTGCATACAAGATGGTCCGTACTCAGTAGCGGCTAAAGTACGCGTCCATGGCTTCTTGGGTACTGGCTTTCGGAAGCGAAGATGGCCAAGGGGTGGTTCTGCATACGGTACGCCCAGGTAGACATCTATCTCCTTTCCCTTCACCGTTTCTTTTTTTCCTTGGATTTTCCCGAGCTTAGTTTCCAGAATCTCAGCATGGCTAGTTACGATCATAAAAAACACAGCTAAAATACACGAAGCCATCAGAGAACGTTTAAGTGAGACGCCCATTCTAGCAATGAGTTGTGACACCAACAATCACCCGCTTAAATCAGCGCGTACTTGGCCTTGTTAGTCTAGATAACCTCCTTTGGTCTCTAGTCTTTCTATCGCTCAGGGGTAAGCTCGCTCTAGCACGAGTTGCGTTATAATCAGCAACCAGTAGGAAATTTGGGCAAAAATAGACGTCTAGTCATGAAACATTTCCCTTGCGCTGAAATAACGCTTCTATAAAAGGTTATATTTTCTTTGGGTTCCCTTTTATGGTAAATATGCCGCAGCTCTCCCATATAGGACCAGCGCCCTATATATTGGCACCTTTATCGTGTGACAGGCAGAGTACATATATTGACCTTTATTGACAATTATTCAACATGACCCTAACAACAGTTTGTGGTTTGTGTACTGTTTATACATTAGCACATTCAGAAAGCATCAGGCTCCTGTAATCCATGTTTCTACAATGATATGAACATTTACTGATCCCTACTGCATACATGCATACACAAGTAAGCTGTCAGTATATGCTCTAAGATGACAAATGGAATACAAATTGGAATGCTGGGGCAGATGAAGTCACAAGACATACTCGTACAGCGGCAGAGACAAAGACATTAAATGGGGATATTTTAATAATTTTTTAAAATCGCCATAATGATTTAACATTGACATACATACCTGTAGTTCACCTACATATTTTTACTGAAATTCCTGTTCCTCAGGCCATGTAAGAGACGCGTTTTGAGGTATAGACATCATTTTTGCTACTATTATAGCGATTTGTAATGTGACAGCTAGGGAGTCCCCCATGACAGAGAGTCCGGTCCCCATTAATTTGCTTAGATCGCCCTAGTTTTGACCCACTAGTACGTCAGGTTTACCCTATCCTGTATAATTTAATGTTGGGTGGACTCTCTGTTACACGGACCCTCAGTTTACCCTATCCTGTATAATTTAATGTTGGGTGGACTCTCTGTTACACGGACCCTCAGTTTCGTCTCAGATGCTTACATCAGATTTACGTTGATAAAGTAGCGCAACACAGTCTCTCGAATTTAACCTTAACTCAAATAAGAGTATTTATTTACAAAAACATGGGGTAACCTTAGTCCTTTCTTTAACGGGCGTTCATCTTGTAGAGGCCATATCACAAAAACAAAAGGCTTGATGAAAAAACAGACATCTCAAAAGAAAAAAACTCTTCTCTGCCAAAATGTTATCCTCTTGAATGACACTACAGATGTAATTAACGCTCTGCCTGGCGTTGGGGGATCACGAGGCAGTCTGTCCGTCACAAACTGTTTAAGCACCTTACATCTCAGTTATGGCTTAACCGTGTTTATTTACTTACGTCATTGCCAAGTCACTTTATCAAACAACTCACAGATACAGTTTATTTGAACTGGAACACTGCACTTTAAGAAAGGTTCAAGTTAAAGCCAAACAGTAATTACTATATCTATACACACAACTGACCTCAGATAACATGAAAGCGTGTACACAAATACTCAAGTCGTCTGGCATAGGGGCCGTTCACAATGTACTTTGTCGATCTAGCTAATGCGCGCCAACTCCGCGGGGACTCTCACTGAATGCAATCAGGTTAACAGATTCTCACACCACCTCTTGTTTTCAAGTTCTACTCAACATAAAGGGGGGGGGGGCGCGTTCGTGTTAGTCAGCTAGTAGTTAATCTCCTCACGCACGGACTCCCACATTTTCCCCATTTTTTGGCCGTAGACCACAAGTAGCAGCCCGTGCGTTCGGTTGGGACCTAGGCTTAAGTAGATAAACTCAGATTCAAGGATAGGCCTTAAGACACCGGTCTCGTAGGTCCTGGCTGAGTCATCCTTATCGTCTGGTTCCCCACCAAAGTCGAGCCAGATAACCTTGTTAGCCAAACATAATATTAAATGGTCTTATTTGGTTACAGTTAAAACGCTATGTTCTTCGTACTCGAATGCATACGTACGTGACTTATTCTATAGACCAGAGACTAAAATCTGAACACTTTATTTGTAAATGAAAACGCCCCCCGCACCGCCCCTTTTCAAATCAAAATGTCGTATCCATCCCCCATCCCTTATCAATGGGAGAGAAAATGTCGACCAGTGCATTGCAGAATTTACCGTCTGCCAAGGCCGCCGCTATTTTAATAATTATAATATTAAAATATGTGGACATTTTCTCTGAGGTCACAGTTCGGAGGATAACCGTCAATTAAACCTGAGAAATATCTGTAAATATACAGTGAAAAATCAATATGTGGCCCTGATGAAGGGCATGTAAACTTGGTGAAAAAAATTAGATTGCATCCGGATTCGACCCATCGAACTATTTAACGTTTGTTTCATGGGTCCTAGATTATACCCTTTCTTCTTTTAGAAATAAATTCTTCACAGACGGTGGGTTGTCCACGCCAAACACCCCCTCATAACGATACCCTGGAGCTATAGTATAGTGCATAAATCCCATTTATGAAAAGTTTGGATTCTATTTCAAATCAACTATTTATCGCGCTTTTCATTTCATTTTATCTTTAAACATACTGTATATAATATGTTCAGTTCCTTTGTTAATAATGTTCCTGTAAATACTGGCACTTCAAATGAATGAAAAAATATTATGAATTCCAGTTGATTCTACAAATTTTCTTAATTGGAATCAATTTAAAACTTGGAAAATCTGTTTTGTGCATAAGTGAAAGGTACTACTATACCCAGCATCTCATTTTTAATTAACTGAAAGTGGATGCCGATCCTAAGAACATATTTCAATATCATTAAAAGGTATACCATTAGAACAGAGATATCACTGTAACTTTTACAAGTTTTATTTATATTTAACTTACATTTTTTATGCACGATCATTAAGATGTAGAAAAATGAAGCATTAAATAAAGGAAAAGTTCACCCCCTTGCTTAAATGGCTTATTTTATGAACAATCTGTCACTTTGTGAACTATAAAAAGAACTCTCTTCCTCATGTCAGAGATTGATATTAACTACAAAAATAAGTTTCTAAAATTGTCATCTTCATCTTTTACATTACATATCATTATAACTGCTTTAACATTGCATAAAAAATTGAAGTTTATATTAAAAAAACAAACAAATAAATAATTGAAGAGAAATTATTACAGCTCCAGCAAAAAAAAAGGAAACCTTTTAAATGTGCTTTAAACATAGTTGTGAGTCTAGGCTGATCATGCTTTTGCACTTCATCTGTTAAAAAGACATGATTTTCAAACTATAATTCACTTTGCAACAGAAAATAATGACATTTCATTTTTTGACAAGTATTTTCATCTCTCTGTGCCAGACTCCGGCACAAACTAATATGATGATGTTGCTGAACTAACTGTGGCAAACCTACTATTAGTACATTGGTCAGCACCAGGACTTTAATGCTGATCCTAACGACCTTCACCTGACCTTCCATTATCCTCGTACTCTCTCCAACTCCATAAAACATCCACATCTCCAGAGACCTGATTCTCTACAATTTCCCCTCTGACTTGTACCTCCATTACATATCAGCATCCTCATTGTCAACTTAAACACACATATATTCTCCTCACTGTCAAGTATTAGTATTATTATTATTCCCAGTGTTCTGTGATCCAGGCATCACTAAGAACTTGGGTGTGGAGGTACTAATGGTGGTAGCCCCAGCACTCTGCGTATTAGTCACCACTCTCACTACAGTCTGTGTGGGAGTGAAGGACCCTGAGACACTGGTCAATGTGGAAGAGCCCCCCTGGGTCAGGATCACATACTTCTGGGATGCCCCAGGGGTGGTTGGGGTCCCTGGGGTACGGTTGATAAGACTACTGGAGGTCTGGAAGGTCCTGGGGGTGGTAGGGGTGCGAGGCAGGCTGCTCCCCAGGGACGTCTGGACAAGAAGTTGTGGTTTCTGCTAAAAAAAAAAAAGAAAAAAAACATCAGTTAATTTTTAAACATTTATGACACAATGGATGTTACTGTGTGGCATAAGAAAATATGAGAAAGTTTTTTCTACCATTTTGGTACAGAATGATACTGAGACAGATCAGGTGACAAGTTCAAACATCCTGCTTCAGTCTAAATATTTCTGCTCCAAAAGGTATCATGTCACACTTCTCTCATAAATATGTGATTTTTTCAATGAATTTCCTCACTTGAAAACATATCCATACTTATCAGTCCTAGAAAACTAAAATGTGTTGGAGTAAAAGCAGACCTAAACTTATTTGTATTGGAGCGAAAATAAACCTACACTTTCTTCTGTTGGAGAGAAAACAGGTCTAGGGACCTACCTGTGTTAGTGTGACTGTGGGTCTAGACTTACCTGTGTTAGTGTGACTGTGGGTCTAGACTTACCTGTGTTAGTGTGACCGTGGACCTTAACCTACCTGTGTTAGTGTGACCGTGGACCTTAACCTACCTGTGTTAGTGTGACTGTGGGTCTAGACTTACCTGTGTTAGTGTGACCGTGGACCTTAACCTACCTGTGTTAGTGTGACCGTGGACCTTAACCTACCTGTGTTAGTGTGACCGTGGACTTTAACCTACCTGTGTTAGTGTGACCGTGGGCCTTAACCCACCTGTGTTAGTGTGACCATGGGCCTTAACCTACCTGTGTTAGTGTGACCGTGGACCTTAACCTACCTGTGTTAGTGTGACCGTGGACCTAGACTTACCTGTGTTAGTGTGACCGTGGACCTAGACTTACCTGTGTTAGTGTGACCGTGGGCCTAAACCTACCTGTGTTAGTGTGACCATGGACCTTAACCTACCTGTGTTAGTGTGACTGTGGACCTTAAACTACCTGTGTTAGTGTGACCGTGGACCTTAACCTACCTGTGTTAGTGTGACCGTGGACCTAGTCTTACCTGTGTTAGTGTGACCGTGGGCCTAGACTGACTGGAAGTGGTGGCTGGCTGTTGTCTTAATTTGGTGACACTCAGGTAAAGTAAGTTGCCTAGGAAACCATACTCTTCTTTATACTCTTCCACATTATCTGGCGGTTTTCTTATTGTCTTTAAAACTGGACTAACAAGTTTCTGAAAAGAGAAAATATAAATTGTTAAATTTTATGAGGTACTACAGTCAATTTTTAAGAGGTATACAAAAAACAAGGCAGCAAAGCTGTCAAATGTACAGACAAAAAGCAGGAAATAACAAAATAGGCTACTGTCAACTCTGATGCAAAAGTACATTATGTTAAACTGCAAATTCAACATCAAATTCTAATTATGCTCAACAGGTAATACCAATGTAAGTAAAATGTGTAACCAACATAAAACTTCAGGCCCATGGGAGTTCAAGTTCACCCTTTGAAAATGTAAAACTTCCAGAAAAGAAGTCAATTAGACTGCTTTTCCAACTCAGGCTGCATTTTAGTCCTGTATTTCTTTTTTTGAAAGTTTGGCAATCATAAGTAACATGGTTTTCCCATAATGGTCATCATGGCAGCAGCCCCCAAAATTGTGTTTTCTTCTATTCTGATGCAATATTACATAATGGTAACCAGCATAATGACAATCAATTTTTAATAATAAAATATACGTATCATGGATTTTCAGAAAATGTGACAAGCATGGGTCTTCAAGCCTGTGGAACTTCAAAGTCACACCTTGAAAATGTCAATATGTGTAAAATTAAAATTTCACAAAAAAACTGTTTAACTGGCGGATTGCATTGCCTACTGAAGCTATATTTTAGTCCCATGTTTCTTTCCTGTAAGTTTGAGAACAGTAAGTGAGTCAGACATGGTTTTTCTTAAATGGTCATCATGGGAGCAGTGCCCAAAATAGTTTTTTTTTTCAAATTTTGATGCAATATTACATAATGTTAAACAGCATAATGACCATCAATTTTTAATAATAAAATATTTGTATCATGGATATTCAGAAAATGTGACTAGCAAAGGTCTTCAGGCCCATGGAACTTCAAAGTCACAACTTGAAAATGCCAAAATGTAAACAAGACAGCACTGTTCTGAAATGTTTTTTTTTTTTTTTTCCATTTTAAAAAATTTTTAACATAAAGCAAAATTAACAGTTTACTGCCATTTTTATATGATTATCTAACAAGGCAGCAAAGCTGTCAAATGTACAGACAAAAAACAGAAAATAAAGATGCAAAAAAGGTTATTTTGTCAATTTTGATGCAATAATAAATAATGCTTATAATAGCACTGTCAGTCAACACTGAATTTTAATCTTGCACAACAGGTAACATGGTCAATAACAGGAGCGGACCCAGAGATATTTTCTGACAGTATTACAAAGTATCTATGTTGATCCATCCTCCATTTTGATGGTCTTCCAACAGAAAAAAATAGATACCAGTCAATATAAACTTAATAACCTGACTGTCTTCAGGAAGACCCAGAAGATGGTCCACCCCTTCAATAAAATTACAGTTTCAGGACCATGAGAGTTCAAATTCACATTATGAAACTCTCAATATTTGAAAAATGATGACAGTGCATAAAATAATATTACATAATGTTTAAAGACATAAAAAACAATACAACTGCTTATGTGGAAATACAGAAAATGTGCAGAGCCCCAGGCAGATGAGAGTTAAAAGTCACAAATGCAAGTGTTTGAGAAAAAATTATAAAGGAAAACATAACAAAGCTAGAAAAGCACTTTGAGAGTGCAGACCTCTGCCAAGGCAGCAATTGTTGATTATTATTGATAATTGATTGATTATTGTTCCAGACCACCACCAAAAATTAATCATTGTCCTCTTTGGCCCACTTCCGACAGTTCCTGAAAATTTCTGCAAAATCAGTCCATAACTTTTTGTGTTATGTGGATGACAGACAAAC